AAAAAAGAGATGCTGGGCACGATGGCTCATGCCTTTAACCAACCAATCCTTGGAGGCCGAGACGAGAGGATAAGCTAAAGCTAGATGGTTTGAGCCAGCCTGACAACACCAGTGAGACCTTGTCTCTACCAAAAAAAAAAAAAAAAAATTCAATTTTTTCACAGTAGCGTGATCTTGGCTCATTGCAGCCTCCGCCTGTGCGGCTCAAGCAATTCCCCCGCCTCAGCCTCTCCGAGTAGCTGGGACCACAGGCATGCGCCACCACATCCGGCTAATTTTGTATTTTTAGTAGAGATGGGGTTTCACCATCTTGGCCAGGCTGGTCTTGAACTCCTGACCCTCAGGCATCCTGCCCGCCTCGGCCTCCCAAAGTAGCTAGGATTTATAGGCATGAGCAACTGCACCTGACAAAAAACTAAAATCATGGGGAGGCCAAGATGGGGTGATCTCTACGATTGGTCAGGAGATCGGAACGCATCCTGCTTAACATGGTGAATACCCGTCTCTACCTAAAAAAAATACAAAAAACTGGCCAGGCGTGGTGGTGGGCACCTGTAGTCCCAGCTACTCGGGAGGCTGAGGCAGGAGAATGGCATAAACCTGGGAGGCGGAGCTTGCAGTGAGCTGAGATCTGGCCACTGCACTCCAGCCTGGGCAACAGAGGGAGACCCCGTCTCAAAACAAAACAAAACAAAAATACATGAATGTGCATAGCAACATTAATCGTAATAGCTACAAAGTAGAAACAACCCAATGTCCATCAATGGGTGAATGGGTAAGAAAATGTGGCACACACAGTAAAACAGTATCAGCCAAAAAAAGGACTGAAGTACTGCTTTGATACATTCTATGACAGGGATGAATCTTGAAGACATTATGTTAAGTGAAAGAAGCCAATCACAAAAGGTCTTGTGTGATTCCATTTATACGAACCATGAAATGTCCAGAAGAGGCAAATCGACAGAGACAGAAAGTAGACTAGTGGCTGGCAGGGACTGAGAGGGTCCGGGAGGAATGAAGAATGACTGCTGATGGGCATGGCTTTCCATTCGGGCTAACGAAAATGTCCTAAAATTAGTTGTGGTGCCAGTTACACAACTCTGTGGCTATACTAAAATAACTTGTACAATGAATGGGTTAATTGCATGAAATGTGAATTCTCTCCCAATAAAGCTGTTAAAACAATGTCAAGCCCCTGATCAAACCCTTGGCTTTATCTCTCAGGATAAAGAGCACATTTCTTAACAGCACAGCATGCCCCTTAGGCCATAGGGCCTATGATGACTCCTGTGACCTCACCTCTCCGTGCCCTGACCCCCACACACTCTGTCCGCCATATAAACGCAGCTGCCCCTTCTCTGTACATCTGTTGCTTCCTCTGCCTGAACTGCTCTTCCACACCCAGCCCCTGGCTCTCACCCCTCAATGCTGTCCTATCCTCGGCTTTTAGCCTAGATGCCAACACCTCCAGCTCCCTTCTTTTTTTAAATTTTAATTTAATTTAATTTTTTTGGTAGAGATAGGGTCTCACTATGTTGGCCAGGCTGGTCTTGAACTTCCGACCTCAAGTGATCCTCCTGCCTCAGCTTCCCAAAGTGCTAGGATTACAGGCGTGAGCCGCTGTGCCTGGCCTCCAGGTCCTTCCTGACTGTAATCTTCTTCCACCTCTGCAGATCGGGGTAGGTGTCCCTTTTCTGTGCTTCACGTAATAATAGCAGTGTCACCACTGACAGCTTTCAGGCTTGTGCAAACATTGTGTGAAGATCCTGAGTGGGCAGCTCTCCCTACACACCCACATGCCATCTTCATAGCAGTTGTCTCAGTTAGGTAACAATATTTCCATGACACAAGCAAGGAAACTGAGGCTCAGAGCAGTGAGGTGACACGCCCAGGTCAGGATGCTCTTGACCCCTGTGCATCGTGTCCTCGCTCCCCGATCACAGCAGCGGCCACGCAATGTTGTGTTCACTGCTGCTATCTCCACCACCTGACCGTCAAAGCCTGGAGGACAGAGGCTGTGTTTGATGCGTTCCAGCCCTCCCACTCTCCCGCCCCATCTCTGACCAGCTGTGCCACCTAAAGCAAATTGCTTAACTTCTCTGGGTTTTGGATCCCTCGTCTGTAAAATAGATGGATGGTAACTGCCCCTATTTCACAAGGTTGTTGTGAGGATTAAATGAGGTGGAAATACGGCAAGTGCTTAGAAGCAAGCCAGGTATGTGGCGGGCGCTCAATAAACTGTTGCAAAGGTGATGATCTCTGCATCAGCATCGCCCAGCACAAGGTCTGGCCTGTGGGAGGAACCAGTGCAGGTCCCTCCTGGGTGGGTAGGAAATCAAGGGAGCACATCCAGCCTCCAGTCTGGAGAGGCCTGTGGCCCACCAGGCACGCCCTCTCTGAGCAGTAGCTGGAGCCACTGCCCCAACCCCACAGCCCTGCCCTGGTCCTGCCACCCAGACACTACTCACGGGAAGGTAGACGCAGCAAAGCAGAGAATGGAGATCAAGCCCAGGCCCACACTGGCCTCATCCCAGCCGTCCTGGGCACATTCACCCAGCACATCCCATATCCACTGGATGGAGCCATTAGGGCAGCTGGAGAAGTTGCGGGAGCCCAGTTTCTTCCAGACCATGGCTGTGGAGGAGGGGCGCCCGGCCAGGCGGGTCTGCACGGGAGGGAGGGCGCTGGTGTTCCGAGGCCGGCAAGGGTTCTACAGGGAGGAAGAGAGGAGGGTTTCAGCACTGGGAGGTCCAGGTCCTATTCATGGTCATCCCAAACTAACTCATCCCAGCCTTTTCACCGGGTGCCTCGCCCGGAACCAGAGAAGAGCAGAGACATAATCCTCACCCACCAGGACCCGATCAGCCCCCAGGTACACAGATCACAGCAAACACATGCCAGCTACAGACGCGTGCAGGCAGTGCGCTGGATCTGCAGAAGGGACGGGCGTGTTCAAACCCCTGCTTCACCACGCATTCATGCTGGACTTTGGGCAAAGACTCAGCGTTTCTGTGCCTGAGCCCTCTCATCTGTAACTGGGGTCCTCACAGCGCTCCTCCCACATACGGCTGTTGTGTGGGTTCAGTGAGTTCATACACAGTGTGATGAACGGAGCCCTCCATGTTATCTTTTCCTATGACTCTTGAATGCTTAGGTTGGTCCTAATTTATTGTTATTATTGTAAATTACTCTGTAAGGATCTGCTGAGGCCAGGCCCATCAAGTTCATCTAATTTACAGCAGGTTGTAGCCAGGAGCGATGGCTCATGCCTGTAATCCCCACACTTTGGGAGACCAAGGCGGGAGGACAGCTTGAGCCCAGGAGACGGAGACCAGCCTGGCAGTCTGGGCAACATAACAAGACCCTATCTCTAAAAAAAATACAAAAATTAGCCAAACAAGGTGGTGTGCGCCTCAGGTCCTAGCTACTCATGAGGCTGAGGTGGGAGATCACTTGAGCCTAGGAGGTAGACGCTATAGAGAGCCACGATCTCACCAATGTACTCCAACCTGGATGACAGAGCAAGACCCTGTGTCGAAACAACAATAACAAAAGATAAGGGCTAGGCACTGCGCCAGCACTCTAGGAGGCTGAGGCGGGAAAGATCACTTCAGCCCAGGAGTTCGAGAACAGCCTGGGCAACGCTGTCTCTACAACAATATTCAAAAATTAGCCAGGTGTGGAGGCACACGCTTGTAGTCCCAGCTAGCTACTCAGGAGGCTAAGGTGGAGGAATCGCTTGAACCCAGGAGGTGGAGGGTGCACAGCAAGCCATGATCGTGCCACTGCACTCCAGCCTGGGCGACAGAGCCGGACTCTGTCTTAGAAGAAAAACACACACACACACACACACAAACCATAAAGCAGGTTGCCCCACACAGATGAGGCAAGTGGAGAAGAGGAGCAAGGGATCCCCGGGTTTGCCTGAGTGACAAGGACTCAAGTTTGGGACACTGCAGCCTGTATTCTCCCAGGAGCTCACAGAGCGTGGCGGACGCCTACCGGCAGGGAGTCCACAGCCACCTCCTCACTGTCACACTGACAAAGCCAGAATATGGCTGATCACAGAGGTGGGCAGGGCAGGCCTCTCCCGGTACCCGGGCACCCTGGACAGTGCGTAGGGCAGTCATTGCCTGCGTGACACCTTAGAGGAGGGAGGGAAAGTGAGGCTCGGCTGGGCCATCTCTATCAGCGATCGTCACCACAGCTCGGACCAGCGAGCCAAGCCTCCTGCATGCATTCATGTTTCATCTTCACAGCAACTATAAAGTGGGGACCACTGATATCCACAAGGAGCCTGAGCCAGAGTGCGGAAGTGATGTGCCAAGGCCACCCAGCCAGGAAGCTACAGAGTCAAGGCCACCCAGCCAGGAAGCTACAGAGTCAAGGCCACCCAGCCAGGAAGCTACAGAGTCAAACCCAAGACTCAGACCGACACCCCTGCTCACGGCCACCTGCCACACTGCCCGCCTCAGGTGCATCTGTCACCACCGAAGCAGAAGCCTTTTGTGGCTGCCTAGCAAGCAGACGCAGAAGGG